GTGCAATTTGTGATATGTTGTAATATTTGGGCACTTGAGGTACAAGTTGTATCATGCTGTGATATTTGGGCACTTGAGGTGCGATTTGTGAAATATTGTGATATTTATACGCATGCGGTGAGATAAGGGTGGCTTGAAACGCGTGGCTAGTAGAGGAACTACTAGAAGTCATACGGTGATATAAGGTCAGGGTGTTGAAACGCATGCAGTGAGATAAGGGTGGCTTGAAACGCGTGGCTACTAGGGGAACTACTAGAAGTCATGCGGTGTGATAAGGGTGGCTAAAACGCGGGATGCTATTTCGAAAAAAATGATTTCTTTAAAATTAAATGTGAAGGCTCCCGCGGTGATATACGGAAATGAGATATTGTAAATTTATTTATGATTAGGGACTACGAGATGGTACCTCTATTTTTTCACCTAAATCAGGGTACTTCCATTTGGGGACTTAGCTTCATTTTATCATATTTTGAACACTAGGTCCGAGAGTGGGTTGCTCTAGTGGTAAGCACCCTCCACTTCCAACCAAGAGGTTGTGAGTTCGAGTCACCCCAAGAACAAGGTGGAGAGTTCTTGGAGGGAGGAAGCTGAGGGTCTATCGGAAACAGGCTCTCTACTCTAGGGTAGGGGTAAGGTCTGCGTACACATTACCCTCCCCAGACCCCACTAGTGGGATTATACTAGATTGTTGTTGTTGTAGGTCCGAGAGTGGGTGATTTTGAGAGAGGATTTTCATATCAAATCATTTGGGTAAGTGCTTCTAATCAATTTTCAATTATGTTTTGTGATTATACCTCAGATTTAACATCAAATTCATGAGAATCTAAAGAAAAATTTGGGAAATATTGTAAAATCTTTCAAAAATGAAAAATGATGAATTGAAAGACGAATTTGTATCGGAACTTGATAATTTTGGTATGGTTGAACTCGTATCGGAATGGGTGTTCGGGTTTTTTAAATTTTATGAGGTTCAGAGGTGCGGGCCCAGGGGGTGACTTTTGTTGACTTTTTGCAAATTGTATAAAGATCATAGCTTTGTTAATTGAAATTATTTTCTCTTGCATTGTTTGATGTATTTAAATCATCTTTGGCTAGACTGAGCCGAGCGGTGGTGAATTGGTAAAGGAAAAGCTAAATTGAGTATTGAGTTGCCGAATTGAGGTAAGTGTCTTGTCTAACTTTGCATGGGGGAACCTACCCCTTAGGAATTGAGTCGATTGTGCTATCTTACTATGTGGAAGCCGTGTACGCAAGGTAACGAGTGAGTACACAGTCTATATGTGGCATTGACTAGTTTAGATTGTCTAGTCTCTTCCCATTCCTTTGATTAAATTGTCATAACATATGGTATCTCGTTGTTAGGCTACTCTTACATGATCTATATGATGTTGTTAGCACTTATTTACCTCTTGCTCGTTATTTGTCCCTTATATGCCTTGGTTGAAGTTATTGCCTTCCTTATTGTCTTGTTACCTCTTAATTATTGAGCTCCTCTATGAATCTGTGCATATCTGCTACATGTCCAAATTGTTATAATTGCATGCTTAATTATCACGTGCCTTACATGTCTTGTCATTTTTGTAAAGGTTGTTGTATTCCTTTGATTTTTACGTGGTTCCTTTGTTGCCGTGTACTCATACCCTCGGTTGTAGAAAACTCTTGTAAATTGAGTTATTGAATGTTGTTGTTGATTTAAATTATTGTACGGGGGATCGGGTTGCACGCCGCAACAGGTGAAATAAGGGAGGATATTTATATTATGACATTATGATTGTACGGTGGGATCTGGTTGCACGCCGCAACAAGCGAAATAAGGGTGAATTGTTATGGTGAAACAAGGGTGAATTATGATATTGCTATTATATGGTGGGATCAGGTTGCGCGACGCAACATATTATATTTATTGTTATGATATTGATGTTGTACGGTGGGATCGGGTTGGACGCCGCAACAGTTGAAATAAGGGTGAATTGATATGGTGGAATAAGGGTGAATTATGATATTGATATTATATGGTGGGATCGGGTTGCACGCCGTAACATATTTGTGTATTTTGTATCCCTTATTTTATTGTATTGGCTTCAGTTCCTTCGTACGATATTCTGAGAATTTGTATTTTCGGTTTTCACTGTCTTCTGAGGATTGAGTTATTATTATTGACTTACTGTCTTGCCGTCATTTTCTGAACTCTTTTTCCTAGTACTATTATTTTGGTAAATTGATTTTCAAGGTGAATTTACTACGTGAATCATTACCGCCTGCCCTGCTGAGTTGTTAGTAATATGGTAATTTAAAATAAAAGAATTAATATCATGCTACCTTGCGTGACTTATAAGTTAAAACTCGCTATATATTTCGGTATTTACTATTTCTAATAGTTGTTATATTTTATTTCAATTGATTTCTCAACTTAATCTCCTTAACATGTCTGAGGTTTTTATCTTACTTCAAAAGGAATTGTTATTATGATTTAATTTAATAAATTCTATATTAAATTCAATAGCTTGCTCGATGTTGTAATTTTATTTGAAAAATATTATTTTTCTTCACTCAAATAATTTCTAAAATAAAATCATCTTTCTCGCGGATTTCCTACCTGGTCTAGAAACTGAAATTTTACCTTGTGATGTATAAATAAAATCTCTGGAACATCTTAATTAGCATTTGACACAGATATTATGTACCGAGTAGCACGTGGGTTTTTCCGTGCAAAGTGAGATGGAAAGATGTGGGCACAAGGTGCCATGTGTGTTAAAGGGTTGGAAGTTGTAATTTATGATATGAGATTACGAGCATTGGAATTGTATATTAGAAACGATTTGATTGGTTGAGTTGACATCGTTTTCCCTACATGAGCACATTTATACTTTATTCGTACCCCAATTATATTGTTGTTTAATTACTTGGTTATTTCTCGTTGCCATTCGTGTTCCCCTTATCGTTATTATTGATTGTAATTTGATTTCTTTCTGCTATTGGCATTACTCTTATATTCCTTCCTTGTTAACTTTATGTCATATCTTGCAGAAGTTTATATTTTCCGTAGGTATCTTGACCTGGCCTCGTCACTACTCTACCGAGGTTAGGTTTGATACTTACTAGGTACCACCATGGTGTACTCATGCTATGCTTCTGCACATTTTTTTTTGTGCAGAACCAGGTACTTCAGATTGAGTTGGTTTTGAAACTTATGCTTAGTGTGGCTGGAGACTTCAAGGTACACATGTTGGGCATTCGCAGGCTCTGAAGTCACCTTTTATTGTATTTATTTCCATTGTTTCCTTTTATTCCGGAATAGTGATGTATTCATTATGTATAATTACTCCTGAAAAGGCTTATGACTTGTACTACCGATTTTGGGATTGTAAATTTATATAAAGATTTCTATTTCGAAATTGTTCGATGTTAGTTAAATATTGTTTTTATTTCAGTCAACGTTAGACTTACCTAGTTTTAGAGGCTAGGTGTCATCACGACTCCTTTAGAGAGATTTTGGGTCGTGACAGTTGTAGTTAATTTTCTTTATTTGAATGTATGGAAGTTGGAAATAAGTTGTGTACTGTATGAATTGTTGTATAAAATTTATATTTAAGTTATAATTTTTTTTATTTTACATAAAGTTGTTGATATGTATCAATTAAAAGAGGACATTTTGATTGGAATTTCAGAGAGGAAGAAGAACAGAACACATAACAAAATATAAATAAATCATATACAATATATAGTATAAGACATATCGAATATAAATATATATATATATATATATATATATATACAAGACATATCGAATATAATTTGTATAAATATTATATTTAACTTGTATGATATTGTAGTTATATTTTAACTGTGTAAAAATGATATATAAAATTTATAGATAAGTTGTAAATAAGTTATATACTGTATAATTAGTTGTATGAAATTTATTTTTAGTTTGTATATTATTGTAGATGTATCAATTTTATATTAAATTTGTATGAAATTTATTTTTAAATTTTATGTTGTTGTACCATACATTTTTCTTTTCTTACTCGATTTGTTAAAGAAAGAAAAGTAGAGAATGAATTCCAAATCGAATCATATGCATTGATTTTTTTTAACTAAAAAAACTTGAATATTAATGGGAACTGAATTATTTGGGTGGAGAAATTTCGAGTAAAAGTGCTATAGTCGCACTTCGGAGAAACTAGTTTCATCTGAGATTTGAATTTTGTGCTGAACTTGATGTCAACAAATATGTGAATCTAGAAATTCATTTCGGCCAATTGAACTTTCTCGAACTGTTTCTTTTTAAGAACCAAAAAGATTTGAGCCAAAATAAAAGATGCCAAGAAGAACAGAAGTTCTTTTGCGCAAATAATAAGAGGTTACACGTTAATAAATCAATCAATTCTTCGAAAATATATTTGTATTACCTTCATTGGTAATAGCCAAAAATCTCGGGCACATGTTATTCTTGCATCTTCCTGAATGGTGAGAAATCAACTGGGTAGCATAGATTTTTGTTGGAAATACTAATATAAAGTTGAATCCGAAATTTGGAGGCGATTGAATATGATTTACTATGACTTAGGTCAGAAACTTCAAAATTAAGCAAAGAAGATGACTGAGGTCGTTTGATTTGTACTGGGGTTTGAGTCAGAGATGTAATTGGTTGTTTTCCAACGACGATGGCGATTAGGAGGGAGGCGACAGAAAACAGGAGAAGAGGAGAGAAGACAGAAAGGAGGCTGGAAGGACGCTTATTGAGACAATTAAATATAAACGGTAAGAAAAACTTAGTTATAGCTGATAAATTTGAAACTTTGAAGATATTTAGTAAATAAGTTTAAAATATGGTATAGGAACAAAATGATTTATAAGCCCTTTCAGTGTGTTTAGATCAAAATTCAACACTTCCGACGGGCTATTGATGGACCAACTGGACGTGGGCTCACTTACATAACTTCTTGAGCAGTGAAAGCCCAAGCCTTAAACAGGGTAAAATTGTCATTTAATACATAACATCCCACTTGTTCACACTCTCTCCATTACTGCACTTTCAAAGCTCCCCAACGGCCATAGCTTCGTTTTCATCGACAGAGCACTATATGTAAATCAATTTATTTTCTCGCTCAAGCATTATTAGTTCCTTCTTCGTGTTGTCTGAATCTGAGGTAAGTTTTTTTTCTTTGCATAAACATCTATGATTCAAATGCGGTTAGATCCTACATTGATCACATGTTATCTCATCATCTTTCGGTTTTTTAGTTTTTTTGTTTGAAATTTGGTTTCATCCTCTATTTGATGAATCTATCGAGTTAAATTAGAATTGCATTTGCGTGTATGGATTCTGATAAATCACTCGCGTGCTACTTGAGCTATGTTTCTTTATTCTTTTTTTAAAAAAGAATTTAAGTTGAGTCTGGTGTATTAAAATTTTCATGAAACTCAACTTTTAACTTCAGATTAATGGTCCAACCAGTATTTAGACATTTTTATCAGTTTATACCAAGCACACATTTTTAAGCTTATGGTGCTTGATCATTATTATTTTTGAGAGGTTGTTCATGCTATAGGCTGATCCAAGATTTGAACTTTATGGGTTCGGGATGCCACTTAACTACTAACCATTTGAGTTACTGGGTTCGAAATTTAATATTTGTACATGTTCAGTAGATTTTTTAACAGATATATAAGGTCTGCGCTAAGCTGTTGGGTTCGAATGAACCCAGACCTTACCTTATACATCCGCCCTTGCGTCATGCTTTCAACTTCATTGTCGAGGCGTATACATTGAATTTAACAACTTGTGTTATATGGAATCAATATTTAAGAAATGCACAAGATACAACTACAAATTTTAAGTTTGACATTACTTACTTACACATGTAAATTTGACTGATTTATTTTCTCATATTGCCTGGATCATTAATGTATTGTATATATTTTGTTGGGTCAAAAATATTTTGTTGTACTGACCATCTATGATTCCTTCAGATTCCTCTTTTTTTATTCTGGTCCACTGACTTGCTGGAAATGGCTGCAAACACAACTCCTGGCTTGCAAATCCGAGCAACCGAACAATGCATTTCCACATCTCGCAATATTTCAAATTTGAGCAGTATAAGTTTCAGTTTTGAAAGTAAACGAAAATCTTTTACAGATTTTAGAGGTTCATCTTACATCTCGCTCAGCAAGCCAATCGATAGCTCCAAACTGGCTCCTATAAAATTTGAAAAGATGGTTACAAAAGCAATGTCTGGAGCAAGTGAACAAGTGCCAGTTTCAGGATTACCTATCGATTTGAGAGGTTGCTCTAAAGTGTCTGTAAATTCTCCTTTGATTTGAGGTTTTGTGCAGAAGTATAGAGTTTTTGCTTGCAATTAGTGATTGTTATTTCTTATTATGCAGGTAAGAGGGCATTTATTGCTGGCATAGCAGATGATAATGGGTATGGATGGGCAATAGCAAAGTCTCTTGCAGCTGCAGGGGCTGAAATTCTCGTTGGTACATGGGTCCCTGTACGTATATCTTTGACATGTTTATAAAGTTACTACCATTACTTATAACGTGGCAAAGAGGTAGTCTTTCTAATTACTTTATATTACAGGCACTGAACATTTTCGAAACCAGTCTGCGGCGGGGGAAGTTTGATGATTCACGAGTGTAAGCATGAAAATATTCTATCTTTCCATGTACTGTCTTCTTTCCCACATTTTTCTGATAGATAATGTAATTTGATGTTTTAGGTTGCCAGATGGATCATTGATGGAAATTACAAAGGTTTACCCTCTGGATGCAGTTTTTGACAGTCCAGAAGATGTTCCTGAGGATGTAAGATAAACTATTCTCAGTTCCCTTCTCAACAACTTATACAAGTCTAATCATACTTGGTGAGATTGGTGCAGGTCAAAACAAACAAACGTTATGCTGGATCCTCAAAATGGACTGTCAAGGTATATCATGCTTTACATATTTCTTGCTGTTTCTCATATTTTTCATCTGGATATATGCCTACATGCAATCATCTGTATTTGTTGGTGCTTATATTAAAGGAAACTTTTATTTGTGAATGTTGAAGGGCATTCAAACATATATATATCGGATGTTGTTTGACTCGTTTTAGTATTCTCCACCATGCCTGTGCACATTGCTTATAGTTGACATCCATATATTATGTCAAATCTTCTTCAACCCTGGCTCCCTAAATTTATTTGGCCAGAAAAGTTTCAGTTATAGTTGATGCTGAAATTTGGTTGCGAAAGACTTCATTATATCTTAAATGTGTCATTGACTGAAATGTTTGTTTGGTTATCAGTAAGGACTTTGTAATATGCTATATGCATCATTGATACTGAAACTTCTGTTTGGTTATCAATTAATTGAAGTACCATATTCCGCTCCTCTGGCATGTGATATCTCCAGTGTTTTCTCCTCCATCTTTTTAGTTGAATTATCTATCTTGCTCATAAAGTAGTAAATAAGTATTGTATATTTAGGGAATCCAGAGTTATGTCAACACAGCTGATAAACTTGTTAAATAACCTTTTTATTGCTAATATTGTAGGAAGTTGCTGAATGTGTTAAACAAGATTTTGGCACTATTGACATCCTTGTACATTCGCTTGCAAATGGTCCAGAGGTACACTATTCCTTTCATTGTTTAATTTCCCTTTACAATCTATTTGAGGCCTACTATTTTTAAATATTTATTATAGGTTAGCAAACCTCTGTCAGAGACATCAAGAAAAGGATACCTTGCAGCTGTATCTGCCTCCAGTTATTCCTTTATATCTCTACTGAGGCATTTTCTTCCCATAATAAATCCAGGTAAACTCTTGCTAGCCTTCTGTTATTTTTGGTTACTTTAGTAAAACAATATTAGTGCAACAAGTGCTGTTCCATCAAACAAATCTTTCTCTGAAACTTTCAGCTATGTCCTTACCTTGTAGGCGGTGCCACAATCTCTCTAACGTACATTGCTTCTGAAAGGATTATCCCTGGGTATGACTCTCCTTAATTACGTAGGTTGAGCTTTCTTAATTTCTCAGTTTAGGTTTAAATTAATATTCTTCTTGGATTTACAGATATGGAGGCGGTATGAGTTCGGCAAAAGCTGCTTTGGAGAGTGACACAAGAGTAAGTTTGTACCTAGGTTTATTTTCGATAATCCATCTCTCATTTCCTTTAGCTTCAACTGTGAGCATCGCTTAAGAGTAGTGTATGCTTGCTGAAGGTCCTGGCGTTTGAAGCTGGAAGAAAGCACAAAGTCAGAGTGAACACGATATCTGCAGGTATGCATCAACACTCAGTTTCTTCATAACTTGCTGATCTTTGAACTCCGGAAATTTGCTGCACAAACCACTTCAAAGATATGCTGCATTGCCAAAGCTTGTAGATTATTGTCGTTTCAGGGAGAACATGTTTTCCATGTTACAAACTAAAGCTGTATAGAAATAAATTTGGTGGATAACTTCTTAAATCATTTATTGCGTGTTCAACACACATCAAACGTTCCTATTTTCGTCTCCTAATCTGCTCAGTGCTCATAAATCTAAAATTCCATCACCAGAAATTAAATAAGTAGATGCTTTACAGGTCCACTGGGAAGTCGTGCAGCAAAAGCTATTGGATTTATTGACATGATGATAAATTACTCATTGGAGAATGCTCCTTTGCAAAAGGAGTTATATGCCGGTAAGTCAGTTGCTTAAATATTTATTTGCCACTGAATGCTCAGAAGAATCACCATGTTGCTAGTGGGGGGTCAAATGTGTGCTCTTCTGAATTGATTTTCAAAATCATACTGGTGAATGTGTCGGGTTGGAGGCTTCGAATAGAATTTAAATCGACTCTCATCTTACTATATGCTGCACTTCTATTGCTTCCGAGTGTCTAACCTTAAAGTGGACCTAACAGAGGAGGTCGGTAACACTGCTGCTTTTCTGGCATCTCCTTTGGCTTCAGCAATTACTGGTGCCACCGTGTATGTTGACAATGGTCTGAACGCAATGGGAGTTGGAGTTGACAGCCCAGCTTTTTCGGGTCTCGATATCCCAAAGAGTTAGAGCTGGAGGCAATGCTAGTATGGCTTTCGTTATTTCAGAGAAATAAGTTATTCTTTCGATAATCGGAAACAAAAGTCAGCCTCTTGCCTCTTGGTTTTGTTATCTGTTATAGATTCCGCAGATAGGTCATTTCATTTCGATGAGTGGATAGCAATTGATGTGACATTGCATTTGTAGGAGGCAATCTCAGCATTGGATATGCATCTAAATTTAACTGCTCGCTAGCGGAAAGACTTGCAATTGGAGTTGACAGTTTTTTCGCTTATTAACTTATGCATTCGATGAGTAAAACTTTCTTTCTGGTTTTCCGTTGCCCATTATCTTACGGAGTGCAGGATATTTATTTGATTTAATACTGCCATTGCTCAAATCTTAGCGTCTAAATATATACATAAGTTATCCAGTAGCTTTCACCCTACGCATGAACTACAGATAGGGCAGACTATTTGCCACTAGTATCATACGCTCAACCAGTGCGTAATAAGGACATCTTCAAGATCGCTTGTTTCCTCTTGTTACCTCAACAAGAAGGAACAAAATAAGATGGGAAAAGAATGTCCGCTTGTTACCTCTATGTCTGAATATATTAACCAAAGAGCTATTGGCCCAAAAAACATATCAAAGTTAACAATTTCCTAATACTTAACCAATAACCAACCGTGGAACTTCCTGAATCATCTCAAAGTTCCATAAGCTTCAGCCAGTCTTATGTGAGCTTTCGCTTTCCTTTCCTAATAGCAGCAGCTCTTGCAGAATTATCACTTTCTGGGGAATCTTCAACTACAGTCTGCTCCTGCAAAACCAGACCACGATTTCTGGATAACTTCCTTATTGGTGTTGTTGACACAGCTCGTTCATTTTCTACATTGTTTGATGCCGGCTGAGAATTGGCTGGCGTTTCAGCTTCATTTCTGTGTGGCATTAATTCTTCTCCCTCACCAACAGAAGCCAACATAAGCTGCATAAGAAGAAACTAATTCAGTGACTAGTAATAGAACTCCTAGGCACATCACATGTAATGGAACTAAAATGAGCATTTAAAAGATTCAAGAATGAGCGCAAAACAGCAGGAAACATGCTGAGTAGCGTAGACAAGACAGCTGCTAAATGAAAATCAGCAAATCTGTTATGCATCAGAAATGAAAAGAACAGGCTAATGATGTGGTAAAACTGACCATACATTTATTCTGCAGAATAATACAAAAATGAAAGTTGATCTCATCCACAAGCTTGTTAAAGCACAAATCCTTGGCCATTATAGCTTATGTGAGAAGCATATTTCTAGTATAAGATAGAAAGTCATTTCAGTGTGCTAATAGTTCAATATCAACAGAAACAAAAATAAAAACCATCCATAATCCTATATATATATATATATATATATATATATATATATAGAGAGAGAGAGAGAGAGAGAGAGAGAGAGAGAGAAGAATGATGGATTTAAGATAGATACCTTCCAATCCAGGAAGTCGAATCTAAAGACGAAGTGCGTATAAGAAACCTCCCCAGAAAGGACTGCATTAGAAGCAGGAGCATTCCTTGGTGCTGCATAATCATTAGTTAGTCTAGTCATGAAATATGCAGGGGCAGAAGAAGAAACTGAAACTCCAAACAACTATGGGCATAAGAAACTTACAAACTCTATGACAGCCTTTGTCATCAACAGTTATGTCAGCCCGCCCATCTTTAATTAGAAACGATAAGGCAAATAAATTTTCAACTGTTTGTGCAAATGATCTTCTATTCAGGATTATGTTTTCGAGCTTAACACTCTTATGCCTCCTTAAAATTTGGAACATCGTAGCCATATTCTTGTCAGTTTCTGTCTTCTCTTCACCAACTGTTTCATTTAGCTGAAAATATATCAAGATATCTTAGGATACAATAAATATTACCAAAGTAAAGGAAAAATTAAGTAGTGCTTATGCGGTTCAAAGAAACTAAAGAAAAGTGACTACAGTCAGCAACTCGGCATTTCAAACAGAATGAGGAAACTCTAATGCAAAGAGAGATCTACAAGATAATATTCAAGTAAAATGCGTAAACTATTATAGAGATAGACTCAATTCTCTTAGAGACTTAAGATTTCTTTAAATGTTCTTCCAGCAGTAAACAACTGACTAAATCATTTCTAAATATCTTAGCTTAAACTATATTCTTCTGATAAGGTGGGAGCAATTTCTTTATCCAAGTTCTCCAAATAATAAGCAAGGATGCGTAGAGGCTTGTAAATAGAATGTCATACCTCCTCAGGGCGTTCACTTTCTGTTGGCATGACACGCTTTCTACGAACAACAGGATTACGTTGCTTAACTTCAGTATTCATAGGCCCAATCCTGTGAAAAATATAGATTACATCTGGTTCAATACACAAAGTGGTACATAACAAGAAAGAAGATGGATGATGGAAAATTTACATAGTGCAGCATCCAGGAGCACCCTTGAAAACATGAGAGACAGCAAGACCAACATCTTTCCAGTGTATATTTCCATCCTCTTCTGTCCTACTGCTAGATCCACCTTCTTGGCCAAAGTCCCCAAGTAAACAACTAACAAAATCTGAAGGGGTCACTCCTCCATTACTATGTGCCTTTACAGTCGTCACCAACGAGTTTGTGATGTCCAGCAAGGCCTCAGCATCGGCAACCTGTTCCCTAGGTTTTTGTACTATATATAAAAAATAAAACTTCTAAAGTGAATCCAGAAAATTCGAACATGATTGTATAACTGAATCATCGGGGTTGTGAACCTATAAAAGCTAAAAGAATAACATCTACTTTTTCTATGAAATAAGAAGGCCTACTATTTCATTTCTCGACAATTAATTAAATCCCAAAAGCCTAAGGGAAAACAATTAAATGCAGATTTCTCACCCTCCAACTTTAAAGGAAGTCACCAGACAGTCCGTCAGCTTTTTAAAGAAAAGAAAAACATATTTTCAGCTTACGCTCAAATCATATGAGTTTGGATAGACAGAATAATACAATGAACCAATCATACTTATGTAAACAAGTAATAAGGCAATCAATCCAACTACTCAAGAAACCACCTATTTTCAAATGGATTCTCTCTTTCACAAATAAACAAGAGATTTAGCACCTGCACTCTGCAAAACATTTCAAGTTCTGCAGCAGTACTTCAACGAAAACATAACCAAGCAAAAATGAATTGAACTAAAAAAGTAAGAGTAATTTTGCACATGCAAAGTACAAATTACCCAAGCAGGTAAGCCACATTCAGAAACAAAATAATATTACACATAGTATCAATGCACCAGAAACATAAAACTTGAACCAATACCTTGCTGATGTAGCCTTTCAACTTCCTCAATTATCGTCTTAAATTTATCTGAATCAACTTGTGATATATTATCTCTCTCATCTGCAACAAAGGCACAATTATTAACGCCTAATCATGCTAAAATGGCATCATGATTACTGTTAGTAATACAAAATATTCACCATAAAATCAAAGTTGGCGTGTTATATCTCAGATGGGGAACTAATCTTAGAACTCCAAAAAGAAAAAAAAAACATAACATCAGAATTGACTGCTAACAAATAACATCAATCTAATAGAAGGCCAATAAGGTTTAAGTTCTGAGTGCTGACAGCATATAAGTTTTTTACATCATTAGGTTAAGTTTACATATAACAATAGGTAACTCATCGTAGTGAACACTAATTGGTGACTTGGAAAATAGGGCAGTAACCTGCTATAAGAGGTTAAATTGCATCGATAGTGTAAAAGTTATTTACACAATCCAAGTGAAGTACAGGCTAGAAGTTGTACAGACTAGCTAAGGTGAGAGAAAGGAAGGCCCGTGATCTGGATCAAGTGAAGTGCATCAAAGATGAGGGCAGAGTTTTGATGGAAGAGGCACAAATTAGGCGAAAATGACAATCGTACTTCTATAAACTCTTAAATGAAGAGGGGGATAGGAACATTGTGCTAGGTGATTTGGAGCACTCCGAGAGTTATCGTGATTTTGGATTAATGGATTTTGTAGGTGATTTAAGAGGTTGTGAGTTCGAGTCACCCCAAGAGCAAGGTGGGGAGTTCTTGGAGGGAGGGAGCCGAGGGTCTATCGGAAACAGCCTATCTATCCCAGGGTAGGGGTAAGGTCTGCGTACACACTACCCTCCCCTGACCCCACTAGTAGGATTATACTGGGTTGTTGTTGTTGTTGTTGTTGGATTTTGTAGGCGCATAAGAGTTGAAGAGGTCAAGGGGGCTATGCGTAGGATGAGCAGGGGTAAAGCGACTGGCCAGATGAAATCCCTTTGAAATTTTGAAAGAACGCGGGTAGGACAGGCGTGAAGTGGCTCACTGGGTTATTTAGCATCATTTTAAGACGAAAAAAATGCTCGAAGAATGGAGGTGGAGTATGATAATTCGATTGTACAAATACAAGAGTGATATCTAAAATTGCAACAACGGTAGGGGTATCAAGTTGTTAAGCCATACGATGAAGGCTTGGAAGAGGGTGGTAGAAGTAAGGGTGAGGAGTAGTTTGTCTATTTCCAAGAACCAAGCATGCCGGGTCGTTAAACTACGGAAGCCATTCACCTTGTGAGGAGATTGGTGGAGCAGTATAGGGAATTGAAGAAGGACTTGAATATAGTGTTCATTAACCTAGAGAAAGCATACAACAAAGTCCCGAGAAAGGTTCTATGGAGATGTTTGGAGGCTAAAGGTGATCATGTAGCATATATTAGGGTGATTAAGGACATATATGATGGAGCTAAGACCCGGGTCAGGATGGTGAGAGGAGATTTAGAACACTTTCCGGTTGTGATGGGATTGCACCAGGGATCAGCCCTTAGGCCGTTCTTGTTTTCCTTGGCGATGGATGAACTGACGTGTCCTATTCAAGGGGATGTGTCATGATGTATGTTATTTGCAGATGGCATAGTTCTGATTGACGAGACGCGAGTTGGTGTTAACGAGAGGCTGGACGTTCGGCGACAGACCCTAAAATCTAAAGATTTCAGGTTGAGCAGAACCAAGACGGAATATTTGGAGTGTAAGTTCAGCGACATAACCCAAGAAGCGAACATGGATGTGAGGCTTGATGCACAGGTCATCCCCAAGAGAGATAGTTTCAAGTACCTTGGGTCAGTAATACAGGAAAATGGGGAGATTGATGAAGATATCACATATCGTATTGGAGCAGGGTGGATGAAATAGAGACTCGCTTATGGTGTCTTGTGTGATAAGAATGTGCCATTAAAACTTAAAGGTAAGTTATACAAAGTGGTAGTTAGACTGACTATGTTGTATGGGACAGAGTGTTGGCCAG